TCTAAGAAATAAATGACTGAATGGAAAATGATTGTATACATTAGTCTCTTCGTACAGATTACCGTGATAGAAGTTATGTTTTTCGGCCTCATTAAGTAAATGTGATCTCTGGAAAAACAAACTATAGCAAAAATAAAGAAAATTGAAAGTTGATCCCGTTATTTTTTTTCTTTGTAAAAATTGTTCAAACGTATGTTGTTGTCCTGGAATCTAGCTGTTCACTTATTTTTAGACTGAGAACTTCAGCGTGATTGTTAGGGTTCTTGGGACTAAACTCTAATGTAAGCCAAATAGTGCTTATGTAGGGACGTAGTTTGCTATACTCTTGCAAGTTTATAAATTTTCAATATCAATGCATTTTTATTAAAAGTGATGAATTTTGGTCTGAACAAGCACTCTTTATCGGAATGGACGCTTTCAAGAATTTAATAACTGGGAGGCTGCACAGTGATGCTATTTTATGGAATGTTAAGGATGTCATAATGTTACGGAAGTGTCAAAGAATATATATTCTCAGATACTTGATTGGTTCTGCGTCAAATTTAATGTCATCATGATTCGCGAAGAATTACATTTTTCAAATAATTTTTTGCCTTTAAATACTCTGCCAGCGATTTGTTCTCCAGTTCAGTGTGATTCTTCTTGCTTGCATATTTGTAACTCTGGAAGATATTCTTCTAGCTTGCCTATCTTCGCGCATGACCACATGGAGTAAAATTGCAATAAGATAAAAATTTACCCACAGCCTCTCAGAAAATTCTCTTGAACATTCCATGTTGATAAGAGTTTAGATTGTATATTAAAATATTTCTTTTATGTATGTTGTCCCCAAAGATCTTACGAAATTTCCGCGATTTACGAGGAGCCCAGAATTGGAAAACAGAATACTTACTTCGAAAATGATTTTATCTTGAAAAAAAATTGCAGAATGTTTCGCCTATTAACGTTAGCGATCCTGCTCACTGCAGTAAATGGCATTGATGGGCATCATGATGGATTTGCTAGGATTTTAGCTCCACTAGCTCCTGATTCTCTGCCATACGCGCAGCCCCAGCCAGAGATTGTTCCAGTGGTTTGCTTTTTTTTAAATTTCAAATCTCCTTATCCGAAGTTCAATTATAGTATCCTATCGGACGAGGCTGGTGGGACGACTGGAGCTCATCGTCCGAATCGTACGAAAGAAGAGATCGCAGACACCGCAACCATGGTAATAAATAAGAAGCTTTGGCTAACTTATACATTTGATTACTTTTAAAGGAAAAAAAGTGCAACAAAATCGATGCAAAGACCTGAGAGAAACTTGCGATAATGCTGATTTCCCATGTTCTCTGCCAACAATTTCGTAAGAGCTTCTTCTTTTAAGGTTATACTCAAACAAGCATGTGACAAGGCACTACTTGAAGGTATTTTTACCATGAAGATATCAAGATGGCTTACATAAATTGCAAGAATTACTTATATCTGGAAAAAGGAATGGCGCTGCTTACCGGGCAGAACACATGGCTTTCTGAAGGAATACCAGCAGCGAAAGTGGCCATGTGTGGCCGAGATGGGAAGTGAGGCAATTCATTCAAGTAACATCATAATTTTGATAAGAGTGTTTTTAAACATTTCCGGAATTCAACTGTTTTTTATTAAGGTGGAAAGCTGCTAATCAAATTGGGGTCGTAGAGGTGTTCGATATTGTTCGATGCGCAGAAGTAGAATAAAAATCTTTGGCAGCATTCAATAAATATTTTGCATGTGATAGAGCTGAATTAAGGAGCTGTAAAGGATTCTAAGCCTGACCTTCTTTCTGTTGTTACCGCAAGCTTCAACAAGATGAAAATTCAAAACGCAGGAGAGGTCAGGCAGAGTAATTGAATGGGTATTCTGCAGTGGCGTACATGCAGCGTGCCCTAAAAATATGTTCCACGTATGGTCATTAGTATTCCAGATCCTAACTGATGGCACTCCATGGACTAAAACTTGGATTTCTGCTTATAAATGAATTCCTCATTTTTCCTCATTACAGTAGGACCACGAAGTAATTATGTGAAATGCACTCTGATTCAAAGGATAGCTGACAAGCTAATAGCTTGTCTGGCGGGTTATTCTTATTACTAAAACCAGATATAATATCCTAGTGCCGCAGTTGTGCATCAAAATCGTGGCACGTGTTAGATGACAACGCTGCAGGGCTTGCTTCGTAATCTCACCCTAGTCGTCAAATACAGGATTCGTTTTAAGTGGTCTGAGTTGAAACTACCATTCGGAGAAAAATTATTAAGAGCAGATTTACGAATTGAGCTTTTATATCTTGTAAACAGATTTAGGACGCTTTGTACATGGTGATTATACTAGGTAGATATTTCAGAAAGTTAATACATAATATAATGAAATTAACTTCGAGTAGATATGCTCAATTCCAATAGGCAAATAGCTTAGTACAAATTATAACAAAAGAAGAAGCCGTCAAGTTATTTTTAGTATCGAATAAACTAACTAAGAATTGGAACAATTTTGTTAACATTGGTTGTGCAGAAGTCAAAGTTTTCTCTATAAGAACTTTTAGCAAAAC